CCAGCCCATCACTTCATTAGCATATGTCATTTGTACAGAGTGCTGGGGTTCCTTATGACCTTATGCACTTTGGTCATGTCCTTCTTGTTTTCCTTTCTTACTCTCCCTTTTCCCAACCCCTTCCTCGTCTGTGATAGTCCTGCTTTTACTGTCTCCTGTTACTGACCCCTCTAATTCCATGTATGGAAGGAAATGCAATACTTGTCTTTATGAGATTGACTTACTTGATTAACATGATAGCTCTCTAGTTACCCATTTTCCTGGTGTATTTTCATTCTCCTTTACAGTGGAATAAATCTCTGTAGTATATCTAAGGCCACATTTCCTACCCCTTCCTTCTTTTTCCTTTTTCCTCTGTAGCTCAGGCTGGTCTGAAGTTTGCAGTGATCTCCCTTGTCAGTCCCCTCCCGCACCTCGATGTAGCTCTGACTGTCCTGGAATTCACTATGTAGATCAGGCTGGGGTTAGAGGCATGCAACCACTAAGCCCAGCCTGCCTCAGCTTCTTATGTCCTAGGATCATAGGCCTTCACCATTGTGCTCAGCATGCTGTTTTCTTTGTCCATCCACTCATTAATGGGTGCCTAAGTTGGTTAGGTAATGTAATGTGATGAGAATACAGAGTAGACACAGATGTGTAGGTGTCTCCTGTAAGGGCAGACTGATTCTTTGAGAGTGGTTTTGCTGGATCATATGGAAGTTTTATTAAAAAAATATTTTCATTTTTGAATTATGTGTGTGCTTGTGTTTCTGTGGGGGTGTGTGCATGTGGGTGTAGGTATCTGTGGAGGTAAGAAGAGGGAGCTGGAATTACAGGCAAATATGAGTCCCTAGATATGGGTACTGGGAACTGAGCTCAAGTTCTCTGGCAGGGAAGCAGGCACTCTTAACTGCTGAACAGTCTCTCCAGCCCCAGGTGTGGTAGTTTTCATCTTTTGAGGAGACTTACTACTGCTTTCCATGATTTTTTTTAACCTCTTTTGTTTCTGAAAGACAGGGTCTCATGTATCTCAGGCTGGTCTCAAATTTTCTGTACAGCTGTGTCTGTCTTTGAATTCCTGATCTTTCTGTCTCTAACTCCCAGGTATTGGGATTATAGGCTTGTACTGTCAGGTTGAACTCCCTCCCTTAACTTTTGATCTGTCTTGGTCAGTGTATTAACAGGGAAAGAGAAGAGTACAAAGCAGCTTTAGATATGGGATTTTTATCACTGATGATAGAACTAAAGACTAATGAGAATAAAATTCTGAGGTTTTGTTTACCACGGTTGAGAATAAAACCTTTATTTTATTATTTTAAGGTTTTGCTTTTCTAAAGTTGAATATGATAAAATTCAACATAGCATTATATAGTAAGATAAAGACTAATACTGCCATTCAGTGGCGTGGGCGAGAAAGATGCTCTCCCCCTATTCGCCATCTGTGGCAGGCCAGAGAGCTGGCCTTGGGAACACTAGAGTGGGAGAGCTGGCCCTGACCCTCACCAGCTGCATCACTCAGGGACATGAGATTGGGAGAGCAGAAGAGTGGGCCCCTTACCTCATCTGGGCAGTACAATAGAGCTGGTGGTCGTGGTGGTGTGGGTACTTGTGAGCTGGCCCTGAGGGCATGAGAGTGGGAGAACTGGCCCCACCCCTTTCTACCTGCATCATTGAGTGAGCTAGCTGGGGCAGCACTAGAGAGCTCACCGTGGTGGTGAGGTAGTGGGAGAGCTGGCAGTCTGACCAATTCAGCTACCATACAGGCCCAGAGTCAGAGCTATGAGTTGGCCAGCTCCAACATCCATCCCACTTATGAACTGCTGGAGCATGAGAGGGGGCCAGTCCTGAGATCCAAAGCTGCAGGATCTCCATGAGACAGGGCAACAATAGGATGTCCAAGAGGAGTCCCAGTGAGGGTCCAGTATTGATAGTGTAGCAGAAGCCAGAGGTCTCGAACTGGACCAGTGGTTTATTGCAATGAACATTTGCAAGTAAAGATGTCTGGACTAAAGGGTATACTGTGTGACTCACAGTGACACGCTACAGCTTCCATGATGAGATTTTTGTTTGTATGTATGTTTTATCTTTTTTTAAAAAAAATTATTTTGGCGGGAGGTTGCTAGGGCAGAGGATGGATACAAAGGGACAGGGAGATGAGTTTGGTTGGGGTACATGATATGAATTCCACAAAGAATCAATAAAAATTAAAGATAAAGACTGATAGGAATTAGTATTTGTCTATACACATGTATATGGTATTCTCTGTCTATAGTGTGTATTTGTGTGCATGTGTATGGACTTTTTTATGTAAAAAGAATTCTTAGGAATGATGTCACCGTCAGGATTTCTACATCATACACATTCACTGATGCTATTTCATTAAAAATGATCTTGATTTGTTATTTATGTGTGCACATGTGCAGGTCACTGTAGGCAAATAGAGGTCAGAGGAGCGCTCTTAGGAGTCAGTTTTCTCCTGCCACATTGTGGGATCTGGTACTTGAACTGAGGTTGTAGGTCTTTGTGCTGGTGTGTCTACTCACTGAGCCGTCCTCCTGACCCATTCTATTTACTTATTAAAATCTTGATGTCTTACAGAATATGTTTCGAGAAGTTCCTTTAGAGTTATTTTAGAAAATATTTTAAGGTTTTGTTTTTATGAAAATCAGTGTAATGAACAGGTATTTGTGATGTTTTAAAATGCTAATTAATCTGTGTAGTATTAGAATCTTGAAATGTTGAGGAGGCATTCTGTATTCTCTTAAGTGTAGCTCTGTGTGGTAGCCAACTGTGGTATTATGATATAATTCATTTCTGTTTCTGTGCTTTCTTATTTCTTTAGCTGGGCAGATGCTCAAACTCAAATCCAAAACATTGCTGCATCTTTTGACCAGGAAGCAGCTGCCATTCTCATGGCCCGGCTGGCAATATACAGAGCAGAAACAGAGGAAGGGCCAGATGTGCTTAGATGGCTGGACAGACAACTCATTCGACTGGTAAGAAGCGGACATTGTGCTTTTCTCAGCTTGTCAGCTTTCCTTTATAGTAAATGTCCTTTAAAGCACTTACAGTGGGTGGAAGAACTGTACGAAGAACGAATTCAAAGTATGACCTAGTGAATAGAAGTATTCACTCCTTGAAAATGAATGGTAATTATGCTACTATTATTTTTGTGGTGTGGAATAGTGTGGAAATTAATTTTATATTACTAATTCTATGAATTTTGTTTCTGTTTTGAGACAGAGTTTTTGTGTAGTCTTGGCTGGTCTGGAGCTTCCTATTACTATTGTGTGTGTGATTAGTCTTTACTCTGGCTTCTATTTTCTGTTTTAATTTCAGTTTAATATCACTATGTAGACTGTCCTTAAAGTTAATCTCATATCCTGGAACTGTAGGCTTAAACAGTTCTTAACATTTCATTTTTTACCTTGTAAACTCTATCCTGTACTTTCTTATTCTGTCTTCAACTTAAACACATGGTTGAGAATTGTCTGTTAGCTACCAAGAGAGCTGCCTTTAACGTTTCCCTCAGGTGTCAACAGGTGAGCTTGGTTAGAATTAGCTACTTTTGCAATATTGTCTAGATTTCTCCAACCTAAGATCACACCCTTCTCCCAATACCTCTTAGTGAAGAAAGCGGTGTTGTGATATACAATATGTCTTTTCAAATGAGCTTTAACCTTGGACAGCCACCAGTGATGGAACACTGTCACCACCAAGGCTGGCACAGGTCTTCCCTGGGCCTTTGATTCTAGATGGGGAAAAATGATTAAGAATCTTACTTGTGCTTCTTTAAAACAAGATATATTCATAGCAGAAAAATTTCCTTGACTATCACTATCAATAGATCCATATACATTCCTGAGCCTCCAACCTGCCTACAAAAGCTATTTCCAGTTTCTTGCACACACCTCCTCGTGTCATGGGCCATGGAGCCAGTGCTTTGAGTCAATGCACTGTTTTAAATGTCTTTTTTTTTTTTTAAAAAAAAAAAACATTTCTTGTGTTGGTGATCATATTCAAGCCTTGTCCATCATGCCCAATGCATAGTTCTAGCAATGTGCTCTCAAATAGGGGTGTTTCTGTTTCCTAAGTTGCATTTTGCCCTAGCATTTTACTGACTGTAATTTTATATGTTGGTGTATCTGGGATCTGACCAACTATGTAAGCTTTCCTTTTGTGGATAGTAAGTTGTGTTCTGAAATAGTCTTATGTATGTATGTATGTATGTATGTATGTATGTATGTATGTATTTATTTATTTATTTATTTAGGGTTTTTTGGGACAGAATTTCACTGTGTAATAGCCTTGGCTGTCCTGGAACTAGCTCTATAGACCAGGCTGGCCTCAAACTCACAGATATCTGCCTGCCTCTGCCTCCAGAGTGCTGGGATAAAAGGCCTGCACCACCTGACCTTGACTTTGTCTTCATAAATGTCCTATTGTTTTGAGATTCTACAAGCTGAAGTATCAGGGGTATGTACTTGGGCAGTCGCTGTGATTTGTAGTAAAGTGCTCTTTCCATGTTGCTGGAACCATAGGTTGTCACATACGACACTAGAATTTTATAGTACGCTCTGCATTAACAACAAAACCCACCAAACCCCTTTTATTGAGAGAAAAACGACTTTTTTTCTTTGTCCTTTGCTGCACAAAAGACTCAGGACTATAATTTTTTTAAAGAGTTCTTAGCAGGTTTAGGCTCTTTTCTATCTCACATCTCCCTTCACAAATGGCTTCAATTGTCTGGTATATTTTAAAAAGGGAAACATTAATAAAAATCAAAAGGTCCTAGTGAATAACTGAATTAGACAATTGCACGAGCCACAAAATTAGTTTCCTCACCATGTATAGCCAGCTGTTAGTCACACACTGAACATTTTGCAACACAGCAGAGCAGCAAGGCAGCTGAGCTAGAGAAGAGGTTGTGGATGGAGTCAGGAAGAGTTTACTCTGCTCTTGTGTCACATCAGGAGACAAGTGGAGGTAATTCGGAGAAGGCTGATACAGTCAAAGCACTGTTGAACTCTTTATGAAACATCTATTCTCATTTCTTTGTGCCTTAGCCATATGGTGTTCAGAACGGAGAATGGCATCATCCAAGTGTTAGTCACATTTCCTTCCCCACAACACAGAAAGGGTTTACTTTGGCTCATCAATTTAAAGCTTTTGGGTTGTGATCCTTGGCCCTGTTGCTTTAAGCCTGTTTTGATGGTGCAGTGAGAACAGGAGACTGGTTATAGTGTTCCCTTCAAACATGCAGTGAGGAAGGGAGACTGCTTGTTGAGTTCCCTTTAAGGATGCAGTGAGGAAGGGAGACTGGTTGTTGAGTTCCCTTCAAGGATGCAGTTAGGAAGGGAGATTGGTTGTACAGTTCCCTTTACGGCATGCCCACAGGGATCAAAATACCTCCCACTAGGCCTTTTTCCTCCCACTGGTGCTGTGAACTGGTGACCAAGCCTCCAACAAATGGGCCTCCAGGGCTGAGACTTTTGCTTGACAAAGTGAGGCTGGTGCTCAAGGTTCATTGCCTGTTGTAGTAAGAGTTCGGGATCGGGCAAGGCAGCAGGATGATGCCCCTTGTTATATTCTCATAGGTGACTCGCTTCCCTGTTGCCTGTGGGAGTGACCTTATTTCATTCTAAGTTTTGCTTCTGTAAATCCTTCTCTTTCCCAGACTTTTTTCCTTTTGGGCACTTTCAGGGTGGCAGACTTTGGACCAGCAGCTTACTTCTGTAGCTGCTGTGGTGTGTTGATTGTGCTTCGTTCTGTCCTTGGCCAGTATTGAGAAAAGATACTCTGATAGTCTCAGGAAGCTTCTGTTGGCCTCTCCCTTCTCCCCCCATTGGCATTTACGTATTCCTTGTTTGCTACAAAAGACACTTGTTTAAAACAAATCTAAACATTTTGGAGCAAGTTGTTGCCTTTCTGAAATTCAAATGGTTTTTTGGTTGTAATTAGTCTCTTGCTAAGTCAATACATAGTATTCCAACTTTACCCTATCTTGAGGATCTGTTTCCTAAAAAGTTAGCAACTTTTTATATATAGAATTTTATGGGCAGAATTTTAGTTATCATACCAGGAACAAATCACTAATATTTTATTTTATTTAGTGTCAGAAATTTGGAGAATATCACAAGGATGACCCAAGTTCCTTCCGGTTTTCAGGAACATTTTCCCTTTATCCACAGGTAAGCTAGTCAAAGAATATGCTCTTTTCTCTTGTTACCAATAGCACTGAGTTTCATCTTTCTTGTTGTTTATCTTTTAATAATCATCTATGAACATATATTATTGGATTATTCTTTTAATTTTGGGATAACTCAAATTAATTTTATGCTCTGTGGTTAATGAAAAGAATACAATATCCCTATATGGGCCTTACAGATAGTCACTATTTATGGTGCCTGAAGATTTAACTGAAGCTTACTGTGGGTGCAAACAAGATTAAAGCCCATTAGCATGCTATTGAAGGTAAGAGGTTCCAATTACAGCTATGCCAAAAGAAGATGTGTGCTGTAATTTTACTGAGGAGATAATCTGGTGGCATATAGTCATCACTGAGAACAATTTTATAGTGCCATACCAGGTAGGAGATGTGAGCTTAGCTTGCCTTACAGACTTTCACTGTGTGTGTGTGTGTGTGTGTGTGTGTGTGTGTGTGTGTGTGTGTGTGTTTTCCTGTTTTTGAGACCGGGTCTCGTTTTGTAGGCAGGGTCATTTTGAACTTGTCATGTTCTTGCCTTCATCTTCCAAGTGCTGGGGTTATACACTTGTATCTTTAGTACTTCAGTAAGGTTCATGCTTGAGTATAAAAGCTTTGTCCTGAAACTTCAACTTTTAATGCTTTCCTTTTGGTCCTTTGAGACAGGGTTTCTCTGTAGCCCTGGTTGTCCTGGATCTCACTCTGTAGACCAGGCTGGCCTCAGACTTAGAGATCCCCCTGCCTCTGTCTCCTAAGAGCTGAGATAAAAAGTGTGTGCCATTATTGCCCAGCCCCCCCCTTTTTTTCTCTTGAGGCAAGGTTTCCAGCCTAGGCATGCCTTGACCTCCTCATGTAGCTTGTTATTTGGGTGCCAGAGCAGATCTCCTATCCACATGCTTGCCTAGCAGGCTCTCTTAACTGTGGAGCTGTTTCACCAGCCCAGACATAGCTCATGAACAAGCTTTCTTGGGATATACTTTAGAGTATTCTTTTGAAAAAACCATTTATTTTTTATTTTAATTGTCTGTGTATATGCACATATGAGTTTATGTGCACCATGTATGTGCAATTGCCTGCAGAGTCCAGGGCTTCTGATGCCCTGAAATGAAATTTCAGGGAGTTGTTGAACCAAGTGTGGGTTCTGGTAACTGAAGCCCCGATACCCCTCAGTCCATTAGTAAGTGCATTTAACTGCTAAGCCATCACTGCAATCCTACTTTAGTATATATTTTAACAGACGGTGTTTTTATTTGTGTGTGTTGCTGATGTGACACAGTAATATAACAAAATGTTTTGTTATGGAACTGCTATTGCCATATTAAAATCAGTGAAAGCTATCTCACCTGTTTTGTCTTGTAGTTTATGTTTCATTTGAGAAGATCTCCTTTCTTGCAAATTTTTAACAATAGTCCTGATGAGAGTTCATATTATCGTCACCATTTCATGCGTCAAGATCTGACACAGTCTCTAATCATGATTCAGCCTACTCTGTATGCCTATTCTTTTAATGGTCCAGCAGAGGTAAGAGGTAAAAACAAGACAGTTGATTTGTCTTGTTACTGTGATGTGTGGTATTAACAAAGTGAAAACAACTGCTGTTTTTAAATGAATTTGGAATTTGTTAAATTATGATTGCAAGATATTAATTTAAAAATATTTGAGTGTTCCCTGTGTAGTAGGTGGTGTGGTAGGTTATATCATTAAATAATACAAAAGTATTATAGAAGATACTCTTGGTTGACTGTTTAGTGTTTGGTTGACAAAACTCCCCAGAGTTTATGATTAGTCTTTGAAGGCTCAGAAATGACCATGGTTCTGCAGGAGATGGCTAACTTCATAGCTTCATGTCTGGGAAACAATCTGTCATAGTTAAGTCTCTTGTTTTCATATACCTTATTTTCCTTTGGTCCTTTGAGAAGGTAAGATACACTTGATCCAAGATATGTATTTGGAAGAGTGATAAAGTCATCCTCTGAGTTATTTTGGGAAACTGTTCCACACATTTTTATCTATTATCAAATAAATAGTTTTTCCTTTTCATAATTTGAATTGTCCATTTTACCATTTAAAACTACATAACCACCTTTAATCCTAGCACTCGGGAGGCAGAAGGAGGCAGATCTCTGTGAGTTTGAGGCCAGCCTGGTCTACAAAGCAAGTTCCAGCACAGCCAGAGCTACACAGAGAAACCCTGTGTCAAAAAACAAAAACAAAAACAAAAATCTAAAAACCCATGGGAGGCCAGCTCCCACTTTTTTTAAGGGTTCTTAGGAAGAGGAGAGAGGAATGAGAAAATATTAGCTAGAAAGAGAGACCTAGCTGAAAGAAGAAAAACAGAAACTCAGGATAGCTTCGGGAGAGCCTGGATTAATAGCCAGCAGCCTCGAAGGTTTATTCAAAGGTCTTTTTATAACATGCCAAGGGGCAAGGCAAAAGACCTCCCCCTTGCTAGATCAACATATACTGTACAGCCAAGTGTAGACCATTTCAAACACCTGGTAACCATGCCTGTGGCCAAATCATCTTCTTATGCAGCTCTGCTGGGTAAAGCAAGCTCAGATTCTCTGACCCTGAGTAATTTGGGCCTCTACAAAAACCTATATAATAGATGTATTTGGAAATAGTACCTTAGGAAAGGTCAGTACAACTGGGTGTTTATTATATCTTTTGGATTTGTTATACCTCAAGTCTCATAAAATAGTGAATAAAATGATGCCCCCGTTGGTTACTTTTTTTTGTCTTTTTGAGACAAGGCTTCTCTCTGTAGCCCTGGCTGTCCTGGAACTCACTATGTAGACCAGGCTGGCCTATAACTCACAGAGATTTGCCTGCCTCTGCCTCCCAAGTACTGGGATTAAAAGTGTGTGCCACCACCATGCCTGGCTTGTTACTACTTGTTGCATCAGAAGGTTGAAGATTAGCTTAGAAGAGAACTGTGTCCTTCCTCTCGAGCACCTGTCCTTGTCTAACCCCAGCCATTGTTAACTGCATTTACCTTATGTTTTTCTTTTAGTGTTGTTCTCTTTCTCTCTCAAGTTTCTGAGCCATTCTCATTAACGTAGTAACTTGAATAACACTTAGCTTTAAAAGCAAATCATCAAAAACTCACTTTGTTCTAATTATCACCTGATTTCTCTGCTCCCCGACACAGTTAAACTCAAAGTTATTTGTTGTCCATGCTAAAAGAATATTTTCTTTTAAATTTGAGTTTTTTTATTTCTGAGCACCGTGTGTGTGCTTGGTGTCTGAGGAGGCTAGAAGAGGGTGTCGGATCCCTGGAAGTAGAGTTCCAGGCAGTTCCCAGTCACCATGTGGTTGCTGTGCCATCTCTCCAGCTCCCATACTTTAAATTTATTTTTACATATGTGTGTATGTGTGTCACTATGTGCACATGTATGCCGGTGGTCATGGAGGACACAGGGGAGGCTGTTGTGTCCACTGCAGCTAGAGTTACCTGGAGTTGTGAGCTGCCTGATGTGAGTTCTGGGGACTGAACTCAGGACCTCTGAAACAGCAGCAAGTACTGTCTGTTCTCTCTCTAACCCTGTTGTCTATG